CAAAATTCTATGACTTATGTTTCATTCTTTTTAGGAGTGATTTATAGCTTAAAAGTACCAGTCACGATGCATTACACTTAAATAAAATTTGACCTAACAAAACTTCTTATAAAATCTTATGAAATATGTAAGGATTGTTGAAAATAGTGTATTTCTTAAAGTTTAAACATCATACATTGCAAAGATACATGAAAGGTGAATGCTTTATATATGAAAACCTACTATGGGCTCGTTACAAGTAAGGAAAATGGAGTGGGCTCGTGCGTACACAAGATTGGGTCAGACCTTGAGAAATTTCAGATTTCTTCTCCCTGCACGAATATACACATGCGCTGTGCCCAAGTGAATTTTTGTACCTTAGCTTTAATTTTTTTAAGCTTTTTTAAAGCTTTTTCAGCCTTTGATTGAATTATACTCAAACTCTACCATGCTTATCTAGCTTACCTAGTTTTGCTTCAATATTTATCTGACTAAGTACTACAACGTATACCTGACTCAATATACATGCTGACCAAGTTTTTCTCTAACTCCTTGAGCCTTTTTCTCAACTCCCTGATTTGGTGCAACGTTCACTTTATTTGGTGCAACGTTCACTTCATTCATTGCCTATAGATACAGCCTCACACCCTCACTCACAACACACACCAAAGCCTTCTAAGCTTTCTCTACTAATTTTCTTTACCTCCTTACTTCTTTAGCTAGGTTCTTTCTTTCTGCTGTTCCTATTATCTCTTAATAGTTTATGCAAACTATTAAAGAATGGTCTATTGAATCCTAAAGGATAACTACTACAATCCTTTTGCATTGAGTTTTATACTCTCAAATGGCGGAAATGATCCTTAAAACAGTGAAACCATGCTTCAAACTTTCTTTTACTATTTTTACTTGTTTTATTTTATATTCCTTATTTATCATAATTTTTTTTCTAACATATAGTGTGAATCTTACCAGGCCTTTGTTTTGTTTCTTGGCCAAGTCCACATTGACCTGCTTCTTTTACTTTTATCTGGCTCATGCCAGCCCTCTATTTATCCAGTTTTATGGAAGCTTAATAAAATTTCACTTAATAAGGCAACTGCAGGGGTCACGATGCTAGGAACACTTGTTCAAACTATTGTCTTTGTTATTGTAACCTGGAAAATTGTCTGGGATAAACACATAATCTAGTTTACAATGTTCAAACTTTTTGTTGTATGAAATTTCACTCAATATCCAACTTACAGATTTAAGTGCATTATCTGCATGTGATCTTAGCTTGTACCAGAATCCAAGGAAGAAAACAGCAACACTGAAAATGGTGCCTGAGGGGCAAGCTTCTTTTCCTTCCTAGTGGATTCAGATTTTTTGTTGCTATCGTTTCTT